AACCAACCAACCAATCAACCAACCAATCAATCAATCAATCAACCAACCAATCAATCAACCAACCAATCAATCAATCAACCAATCAACCAACCAACCAACCAACCAGTCAGTCAATCAACCAACCAATCAACCAATCAATCAACCAATCAATCAATCAATCAACCAACCAGTCAGTCAGTCAGATCACAGTTAATGCTAACAGTGTGTGTGTGTGTGTGTGTGTGTGTGTGTGTGTGTGTGTGTGTGTGTGTGTGTGTTACAGTGTGTGTCTGCTCTACTGTTCTCGCTCCCTGGGCAGTACTGACTACATTTCCCATGAACACTGTCGTGATGCTGCATGATGACGTATAAGACGCCCTTTGGCTGCGCGCAGGCAGCACAACCAACCAGTGCGAGAAACCACGGAAACAGAAAACATGAAGAAGAAGAAGAAGAAGAAGAAGAAAAAGAATGAATGAACGGAGCAGAAACTATTAAAAGAAGGGAGGGAGCTAGCTAAAGTAAATTAAAAGTGGCCTAAACTTAAACTAAATGCGGCGTTGGTTGGTTGGACAGACGTCTGGGGGCGAGAAGAGGAAGGAGGCGGGGGATGAGATTGAGAATATCAACAACAATGCGTGTGAAACGAAAGAAAGAAAGTTCAATGCCAAATGTCTGACGGGTTTGATCACGAAAATGTCGTCATGTTTTGTAAGGACTGCCGTATGTACGCAAAAGAAAAATACAAAACAAACAATTTGGTGGCGGGAACTAATAATTTTAAAGTCGAGGCTGTAAAGGACCACGAGAGTGCCCGGAGTCATCAGGAGAGCTTCAGGATTAAATGTGCCAGAACAGCTCGTATTGAAGAGAGCCTACTGGGAGAAGCCTTTCTTTATTGAAAACGTCGGAGCTGGAGAAGATGCAGCTACTTTTTGGAAATGCCCACGCCATCGGAACATGCTCTCCTCACCATCCCTGCAACTACAGCTGATTGCGAAAGAGGGTTCAGTGTGATGAATCAGGTAAAGAGTGACTGGCGCTCACACCTGAAAGGTGAGACCCTCTCTGACCTCCTGAAAACCCAGTTGTGCTCACCTGACATCAAAGACTTCGATCCAACCAAAGCCATTGACATGTGGCATGCTGACAGTTTGCGCTCACGCAGGCTTTAGTTTGTGCGCAAACATGGAACAAAAGGAACTGAGGATGGCTCAGATTCAGATGAACAAATGAGTTCAGAGAGTGCTGAAGCAGTTTGATGCAGTAGAGCTCTGAAGTACGCATGTACTGTATGTGTATGTATTGTACTTGGATTGTGTTAATAAAATCCAAAATGTAAAAATAATTCATTCAGCGGCACTCATCTCTCTTATCTAATCTCTCTTATTTTCACTGGAAAAAATGTTGCTAGTGGAAATTCTGATTGGAAATTGGCTGGTAATCAAAAGTTAATTTAGAACCCTGGTTACAGTGTGTGTGTGTGTGTGTGTGTGTGTGTGTGTGTGTCGGTGTGTGTGTGTGTACCTGAGTAGGAGTGCTGAGTACCAGACTGCTCTGAGGTTCCCGCCACATTACAGATTCCCTCCTTTTTATTGATGGCCTTCCTGAAGGTCTTCGCCACCTCGGTGCTCTTCAGCCCGTGGACGATCTGACAATCAATAATCAATAAACAACACAGTATTAATTAGAGCCAATGTTTATTGTTTGTATGTTTGTCTGTGTGACCTTTGACCTTTGACCTGTGGACTCACATGAGTGAACTCATCGAAGGTGAGCTGGTCGCTGGTCTTCGTCAGCTCCTGGACGATCTCTCGGACCCTGTAGCCCGGCAGCGGCAGGTTGGCGGCCCTGAAGAGCCCCGTGAGCTCGTCCTTACTGATGAACCCATTGTTGTCCACATCTGGAGACGGACGGAAGGTCAGAGGTCAAACACAGACAGCAGGGTTCATACAGGAGAGCTGCTTCAAGTTATATAACATATATATTATATATATAATACTTTCTATGGAGTCCTCATGAAGAAGGTCGTTGGTTTCAATCCCAACGGTTCAACAGCCAGAACTCAAATGTACGTATTGTCATTAATCAATCAATCAATCAACTGTTTTGATAATCGATTCATTCTGAGTCTGATTCTGTGATTTCAGCTCCTCCAATGTTTCTGTGACAGGAAGCTGAGTATGTTCGGACTGACGTTACGGACCCAACAACTGATCGATTAATCAATAATGAGGATAAAGGAAACCCTGTAGTGTCAGTCATTGGTAAAGAGTTATTCTCTGTAGGGATCCGTCCCACAATGCAACAGCTGATCAGTTCTTCCTCTATCAAACACAAGAGAAAATGGTTCCCTTACCAATCTTAGCAAAAGCTTCTCTTAGTTCCTCCAGCTCCTCCGGGGAGATCGGTACGGGGGCGGCCATGTTCGAACCTGAAACTGACAACGAAAACAACAACAGCCTTAAAAGAAGATTCCAACGGTGGAGAGCAGAAAGGAGGAAGCTGACAGAGAGTACCTCCTCATTCTCTGATGCAAAACACTTCTCACTTCTGTCAGCCTCCAACTTCCTGCTTCTGCTTCTTCCTGTCTGACCGTTTCTCTGTGATCACTGTGTGGGATTGGACCTGAGCACCTGCAGCTCCACAGGTCACCTGTACTCTGCTAACAGCTCCACAGGTCACCTGTACTCTGTTAACAGCTCCACAGGTAACCTGTACTCTGTTAACAGCTCCACAGGTCACCTGTACTCTGCTAACAGCTCCACAGGTCACCTGTACTCTGTTAACAGCTCCACAGGTCACCTGTACTCTGTTAACAGCTCCACAGGTCACCTGTACTCTGCTAACAGCTCCACAGGTCACCTGTGATCAACCAGACTCCAATTAGAAAACAAGCATTTTAAAAGCTGTTAGTTCGTCGTGTTACAGACCGACAGTCTGAGTTCTTTCAGCATCATATTGATCCTTTATTGACATTAAATCAGTAAATTCTAATCATTATGTGCTCATACTGCCGCAGGGAGACGGATTAAAGGGCGAGTATTTCCCTCTACTCATGTGAGTAAATACAAATGATCCCACAAGTAACGTAAGGGGAATATTTACTTCATGTTTGTTGGGAACAAACAATAAGAGTCATTACATGAACCAGATTGTGCAACTAGTTTCAGTCAGTTCATTCTCCATTAGTTTATCTATATATAGATATACAGATATATATTGATACAGTATATCTATATATATATATAGATATACTGTATCTATACAGATACTGTATCTATATAGATACAGTATATATATATATACTGTTTCAATATAGATACAGTATATATATATATACTGTATCTATATAGATAGACGGATATATGAAAAGCTGCAGATAAGGAAGAGTGAAGCAATTCTGAGAAGTAAGTGATCACATGACACACATTTTATTTTAGTCTGTGGTGATTCATTGTGTGTGTGTGTGTGTGTGTGTGTGTGTGTGTGTGTGTGTGTGTGTGTGTGTGTGTGTTCACTATGATTCAACTTCCTGTACGGTAACCGAAGATGACAACATGACCCTATAAATCCTTCTCACATGGACATTCTGTTAGTAATGCTTCCTAAATACAGACTTAATCAGTTAGCTAGTGTTTCTGTAGTGGAGACTAAACGTTAACAATGATCCATATCAGCAGTTTGAATCCAACTAAAAGCTCCCTGCACCAAACTCCCTTTAAGAAATATCACATTTTAACAATTCCTAACGTGTTCGTAACAACACGTAACTCTAGAAACACGAGCTAAAGGCCGTCATATGTCCACAGTCTGACTGTCAATACAGGATCAATATCATCCATAAAGATACAGTGTATACTGATCAATATCATCCATAAAGATACAGTGTATACTGATCAATATCATCCATAAAGATACAGTGTATTGATACATTGATCCATGGTGTTGTATTAACGTCACATTGTGGTGGTTGGAAGATAAAAGAGTAGAACAGCAGGAAACCAGAAACCACAAATGATCCGAGTGATCGAGGTCTGAACGCTGCATCCGTTCTGCTTCTTTAACGAACACAAGGTTTGAACTGTTGCAGCAGATCGGAGACGAGGAGGACGAGGATTCATCAGAAGTGAAACAGTTCCTCTCTTCCTCTCTCTTTCTGCACTCATTCATGATCCATTAATGCATGTTACTAACTTCACTTCTTCCCCGGAGTTCTTGTGCTTTCTCGTCTCGCAGGTTACTATACATTACTATAATCACTGCTCATTGTCCCCCATCGTTGTCGTTGTCGTCATCTTCTTTATGTTCATCATCATCAGTCACTACTATTAGTGCAGTTGTTGCTACTGTTGTTGCTGTGCACCTACCTGTCTGTCTGTCTGTCTGTCTGTCTGTCTGTCTCTGTCTCTGTCTCTGTCTCTCTCTCTCTCTCTCTCTCTCTCTCTCTCTCTCTCACCCCAACTGGTCGAGACAGACGACCACCCACCTAGAGCCGGAGGATCTGTCCTAGGTTTCTGCCTTTTAACAGGCAGTGTTTCCTTGCCCTTGTCTCCAAGGTCTTGCTCATGGTGGTACTGTTGGGTCTCTGTAAATAATGTTAAAGAGTTCGGTCTAGACCTGCTCTATTTGAAAAAATTTTACTTTATTCACAACCTATATGAGTCTACAACAGTCAACACTGAGAGTCTGACAGCTGTCAATCACTGCAGTCAGGTGTTGAGGCCCCGCCCCCTACAGTCCCTGTCCTCTGCAGGTTTCAACAGGTTGAAGCTTTGTAAGAGTGGTTGGAACCACATTAAAGACATTAAGTTTGTGTTTGAAGGACATTAGTCTCGTTAATGTGTCTCAGCTCTTAAAGACACAAACTGTCCTTCAGAAGCAGAAATGAAAGTGAGCAGCTACAACATCTGAAATGAGTCATATCTCTTTTTATAGTTAATGACTCAGTTAATGTGAATGTGTGACTGCAGAACACACCTGGTGTTTCTACCTGGTGTTACTGTTTCTGCCTCCATCTTGTTTCTATCATATGGGCTCATTTATTGATAGCATTGATAGATTTATGTTACTGATTGGTTTTCTTTAAGATTCGCTGCTTTGTCGTCCACGTAGTTCTGGATAAAGGACGTCCCGGAGGGGCTGCGGGGGGGCTAATGCTAACGTTAGCTCAGCTTGTTTCTCTGATAACTTAAGATCCTAAAATCCTTCATCCGGTTCAATCTAGAGTTAAAAAGCACCGAGATCTAAACAGTGGATGGTCAACAGTCAGAGTGTGACAGCTTCTGGCAGACAACCACAACGCTGACGCAGGCACAAAGGGGATATGACGCCATCGACAGGCGACCGGTGAAACGCAGCGTTACCTGAATAAAATGTTTGAACATTGTTGGAAACATTTGGGATAGTTTTTACGCTGTTTACTGATTATAGATTATTGATTACTTTTGTAGAAGTGGCAGAAAACAGAAACACTGAAGCAGAAGTGTAACAGTGAACTTATATATATGTCAGTGTGTTATAGAGCATCACGTGGGTCTGACTGAGTGTGAGCAGCATCAGGTACTGGAGAGACCTCGCTGCTCGCTGCCTGCTGCCCGCTGCCCGCTGCTCGCTGCTCGCTGCCTCGCTGCCTCGCTGCCCGCTGCCCGCTGCCCGCTGCCCGCTGCCCGCTGCCCGCTGCCCGCTGCCCGCTGCTCGCTGCCCGCTGCTCGCTGCCCGCTGCCTCGGAGGGATTTTTTGTGCAGCTGAAGTGAAGCTAACCACAAACTTCCTTCCCTTTCAGGCTCAGCTCTGTGCAGTGGTTTAACTTCTCTTCCTCCTCCTCCCCCCGCAGGCCTCACTACAACTGCTCTTTACTTCAAATCATTTGTGCAGGTTTCACAAGGACAGCGACGTCGGGTTGAGTTTTATAAGAAGTGGTTTCAGCAGCAGAACCGTGCACTGATCAAATTCTGGATTATAACAATGTAGTAAGAACATCTGCACCAACGCGGGATTACAGCGTCCTCTTTCACTCAAACATACAGATATAACAGTGTGTGTCACAGCGGTGCCTTCAGGGAACCTGTGTGGAGTTACCTGAGAGGTGAGGCGAGGAGGCTGCAGGTGTCTGGGTGTGGAGGGTCACTCGTCTGTGTCTCTGTACCTCAGTCGGTCCGTCTGGCTGAGAGACAGGCAGCGCACTGAGACGGATCTGAGAGCTGTGCGACGATGCATCTGTTCAAACCGAAGAGGAAGTGACACACAGCGCCTCAGAAACAGGAATGAACGGCGTTTTGTCTTTATATGGCAATGCTGCGGGTGGAGGTAAACCCGGTTAGAGGAGACGTGTGACGGCAGTGACTGCTGATATCTGATCAATCATTGTTTAAAGGTTATTTATTGGAATCAAACAGTGGTTGTCAGATAGAGAGAGACAGCAGGTTATAGACTACAGCAACTAATCTATTCAACTTTTAGAGTCAGTGTTTAAGAAAATATATCAAAGCTCTGATTTCAAGGTGGATATTATCCGGTTTCTGACTGAATGTTTTTGGGTTTTAGGAAACATTGATCAACACTTTCTGACATTTTATGGACCAAACAACTGATCGATTAATCAATAATGACAATACATTTTCGTTGGGGCACTATAGGGACACACCTTTACCTACAGAGACACACACAGACACACAGAGACACAAAGAGACACACACAGACACAAAGAGACACACAGAGACACACACACAAAGAGACACACACAGAGACACACACACACACACACACACACAAAGAGACACACAGAGACACACACACACACACAAAGAGACACACACACACACAGGGACACACACAGACACACACAGACACACAGAGACACACACAGACACACACAGACACACACAGAGACACACACAGACACACACAGACACACAGAGACACAAAGAGACACACACAGACACAAAGAGACACACAGAGACACACACACACACACACAAAGAGACACACAGAGACACACACACACACACACACACACACACACACAGAGACACACACACACACACAAAGAGACACACACAGAGACACACACACACACACACAAAGAGACACACAGAGACACACACACACACACACACACACACAAAGAGACACACACACACACACACACACACACACACACACACACACAGAGACACACACACACACACACACACACACACACACACACACACACAGACACACAGAGACACACACAGACACACACAGAGACACACACAGACACACACAGACACACACAGACACACAGAGACACAAAGAGACACACACAGACACAAAGAGACACACAGAGACACACACACACACACACACACACAAAGAGACACACAGAGACACACACACACACACACACACACACACACAGAGACACACACACACACACACACACACACACAAGAGACACACACAGAGACACACACACACACACACACACACAAAGAGACACACAGAGACACACACACACACACACACACACACACACACAGAGACACACACACACACACACACACACACACACACACACAGACACACACACACACACACAGAGACACACAGAGACACACAGATACACACAGAGACACACACAGAGACACACACACACACACAAAGAGACACACACAGAGACACACAGAGACACACACACACACACACACAAAGAGACACACACAGAGACACACACACACACACAAAGAGACACACACAGAGACACACAGAGACACACACACACACACACACACACACAGAGACACACACACACACACACACACACACACACACACACAGAGACACACACACACACACACACACACACACACAGAGACACACACACACACACACACACACACACAGAGACACACACACACACACACACACACACACACACACACACACACACACACACACACACGAGACACAGAGACACACAGAGACACACACAGACACACACAGAGACACACACAGAGACACACACAAAGGTGTGATACAGGATACCACTGAATGCGTCATGCTAACACGCTACAGGTGTGAAAGGAGACGTTACCTGTCAAACTGCGGTGGCTTCCGGTGTACAGGTGTTGTTTCCGGTCCACAGACTCTTTAAAGTGTCGGTAACAGTCTCCCGGTGAGCGCTGATTGGTTGAATTTCACACACAGAAACGCATTAGAGCTTTACATCTTACATCTGTCTGTCTGTCTGTCTATCTATTTATCTGTCTGTCTGTCTGTCTGTCTGTCTGTCTATTTATCTGTCTATCTGTCTATCTATCTATCTCTCTATCTGTCTGTCTATCTGTCTGTCTGTCTGTCTATCTATATATCTATCTGTCTGTCTGTCTATCTGTCTGTCTATCTATCTATTTGTCTATCTATCTGTCTGTCTATCTGTCTATCTATTTATCTGTCTGTCTGTCTGTCTATCTATATATCTGTCTATCTGTCTGTCTGTCTATCTATATATCTGTCTATCAATCTGTCTGTCTGTCTATCTGTCTGTCTGTCTATCTATCTATCTATCTACCTGTCTATCTATCTGTCTGTCTGTCTATCTATCTATCTACCTGTCTATCTATCTGTCTGTCTGTCTATCTCTCTACGCTACCTGTAGGCTACCTGTAGGCTACCTGTACTACCTGTACTACCTGTAGGCTACCTGTAGCCTACCTGTAGTACCTGTAGACTACCTGTAGGCTACCTGTAGTACCTGTAGACTACCTGTAGGCTACCTGTAGGCTACCTGTAGTACCTGTAGTACCTGTAGTAACTATAGCCTACCTGTACTACCTGTAGACTACCTGTAGGCTACCTGTAGGCTACCTGTAGTACCTGTAGTACCTGTAGTAACTATAGCCTACCTGTAGGCTACCTGTAGGCTACCTGTACTACCTGTAGTACCTGTAGGCTACCTGTACTACCTGTAGGCTACCTGTAGTAACTATAGCCTACCTGTAGGCTACCTGTAGGCTACCTGTTGGCTACCTGTTGGCTACCTGTAGGCTACCTGTAGTACCTGTACTACCTGTAGTACCTGTAGACTACCTGTAGGCTACCTGTAGTACCTGTAGTACCTGTACTACCTGTAGACTACCTGTAGGCTACCTGTAGTACCTGTAGTACCTGTAGGCTACCTGTAGGCTACCTGTACTACCTGTAGACTACCTGTAGGCTACCTGTAGTACCTGTAGTACCTGTAGGCTACCTGTACTACCTGTAGGCTACCTGTAGGCTACCTGTAGTACCTGTAGGCTACCTGTAGGCTACCTGTAGGCTACCTGTAGGCTACCTGTAGTACCTGTAGGCTACCTGTAGGCTACCTGTACTACCTGTAGGCTACCTGTAGTACCTGTAGGCTACCTGTAGACTACCTGTAGGCTACCTGTAGACTACCTGTAGTACCTGTAGGCTACCTGTAGGCTACCTGTACTACCTGTAGGCTACCTGTAGGCTACCTGTAGTACCTGTAGGCTACCTGTAGGCTACCTGTAGGCTACCTGTAGGCTACCTGTAGACTACCTGTAGGCTACCTGTAGGCTACCTGTAGTACCTGTAGGCTACCTGTAGGCTACCTGTAGGCTACCTGTAGACTACCTGTAGGCTACCTGTAGGCTACCTGTAGTACCTGTAGGCTACCTGTAGGCTACCTGTAGGCTACCTGTAGACTACCTGTAGGCTACCTGTAGACTACCTGTAGGCTACCTGTAGGCTACCTGTAGGCTACCTGTACTACCTGTAGGCTACCTGTAGGCTGTGATGATATATATGATCATTTCATACAAATTCAATTAAAGTGCTGCAGTGAAATGAGAAGTGTTTTATTATTAATATATTGTTTATTATTATTGTTTACCTGGAGGTTTGTTGTTTCTGTTTTATTAATCTAAAGGAGAAAAACTAATAAATAAATTAAAGTCACGTGTCGATGACGTGTAGGTAAACAAACGCTGAGCCAATCACAGAGAGGCAGCCCGGTCAGCTGACAGCAGTTTCCGGAAGTGTTGTGTTGTCAAAATGGCCGACCACCACCATCACGACTTCTCTCTGTGTTTCTGCGATTTAATGAGGTATTTATTGATTATTATATTGTTATTAGAGCTAAATATCGATCACTGAGAATGACGTGGAGTGACGGACAGCTAACGGCTAGCTTCAGGCTAACTAGCAGCTTCCTGTCTGTGTGCCTGTCTGTGTGCCCGTCCTCAGGCTGTTGTGGTCTCTGGTGGTCCCCTGTGTCTACCTCAGTCTGGTCCTGACCCTCCTCCTGCTGCTGCTCCTGTTCGGGGTCCGTGTGTGGCTGCGGGGCCGCCGCAAAGCCCGCCGGGAGCAGAGCGACGGTGGCCCGGCGGTGGCTTTCTTCCATCCGTACTGTAACGCGGGAGGAGGCGGGGAGAGAGTCCTCTGGTGCTCCCTGAGGGCCCTGATGAACCGGTACCTGTCTGTCTGACTGCGTGTCTGCGTGTCTGTTTATACTGTCTGTCTGTTTATACTGTCTGTCTGTGTGTCTGTTTATACTGTCTGTCTGTGTGACTGTGTGTCTGTTTATACTGTCTGTGTGTCTGTTTATACTGTCTGTCTGTTTATACTGTCTGTCTGTTAATACTGTCTGTCTGTGTGACTGCGTGTCTGTTTATACTGTCTGTGTGTCTGTTTATACTGTCTGTCTGTTTATACTGTCTGTCTGTTAATACTGTCTGTCTGTGTGACTGTGTGTCTGTTAATACTGTCTGTCTGTCTGTTAATACTGTCTGTCTGTTTATACTGTCTGTGTGTCTGTTTATACTGTCTGTCTGTTTATACTGTCTGTCTGTGTGTCTGTTTATACTGTCTGTCTGTTAATACTGTCTGTCTGTTAATACTGTCTGTCTGTTAATACTGTCTGTCTGTTAATACTGTCTGTGTGTCTGTTTATACTGTCTGTCTGTTAATACTGTCTGTCTGTTAATACTGTCTGTGTGTCTGTTTATACTGTCTGTCTGTTTATACTGTCTGTCTGTTAATACTGTCTGTCTGTGTGTCTGTTTATACTGTCTGTCTGTCTGTCTGTGTGTCTGTTTATACTGTCTGTCTGTTTATACTGTCTGTCTGTGTGTCTGTTTATACTGTCTGTCTGTTAATACTGTCTGTCTGTTAATACTGTCTGTCTGTCTGTGTGTCTGTTTATACTGTCTGTCTGTTTATACTGTCTGTCTGTTAATACTGTCTGTCTGTTTATACTGTCTGTGTGTCTGTTTATACTGTCTGTCTGTTTATACTGTCTGTCTGTTTATACTGTCTGTCTGTTAATACTGTCTGTGTGTCTGTTTATACTGTCTGTCTGTTAATACTGTCTGTGTGTCTGTTTATACTGTCTGTCTGTTAATACTGTCTGTCTGTGTGTCTGTTTATACTGTCTGTCTGTTAATACTGTCTGTGTGTCTGTTTATACTGTCTGTCTGTTAATACTGTCTGTCTGTGTGTCTGTTTATACTGTCTGTCTGTTTATACTGTCTGTCTGTTAATACTGTCTGTGTGTCTGTTTATACTGTCTGTCTGTTAATACTGTCTGTGTGTCTGTTTATACTGTATAATAGGATAGTATAGAATAGTATATAATAGTATAGGATAGTATAGAATAGAATAGAATAGTATAGAATAGGATAGTATAGAATAGGATAGTATAGTATAGAATAGAATAGTATAGTATAGAATAGGATAGAAAGCCTTTGTCACTGTACAAATGTACGATGAGATTAAAAAGCCAACTCCAACAGCAGTGTAAAAAAATAATATATATATACAATAAAAACACAGGACATAAAGTAATAGTACAACAGAGGAAGGTAGGGTGCACAGTCCTGAGGAGTATGTACATTTGCTAAATAAATACGGTGCTATATACAGTGTTAAATATATATGTATATTGCCCATTATGGTATGGAATATTGCACATTGTGTGATATTGCACAGTAGGTATATATGTAGGTTTAACAGTGTTTAATAGTGACTGAAGACAGTCCGGGGGTTAGAGCAGTGCATGTGAGAGTTGGGTGGGAGCTGTGTTTGGTGATGGTTATAGCTCTGTTGAGACAACAGGAGGTGTAAATGTCCATCAGGGAGGGGGGAGGGCAGCCAATGATCTTCTGTGCTGCCTTTACAACTCTCTGGAGCCTCTAAAAAGTCTAAATTCATTGTCTTTGCTTATATCTCACAATCTCTACGTTGTCCAATAATTTACTTTTTATGTAATAACTTTATATTTAATAATTCTGACTTTATATTTAGTCATTATGACTCTATTTAATAATTATGACTCTATTTAATAATTATGACTTATATTTAATAATTATGACTTATATTTAATAATTCTTACTTTATATTTAATAATTATGACTTATATTTAATAATTCTGACTTGATATTTAATAATTCTTACTTATATTTAATAATTATGACTCTATTTAATAATTATGACTCTATTTAATAATTATGACTCTATTTAATAATTCTGACTTT